GCCTGATTCTACAGAGGGAACCCTTTGGTTTTCTGCATTATTAGTTCATGAAATGTGATCCGGTCTCTGTCCAAGTCACAAGTCAAAGACAAGGTGCTGAAGCTAATTACATACAAGCAATTGTGATATTTTGTGTTTTTACTGAACACAGCCATTAAACGTGCTGGTGGGAAAAGTAATTGAACTTCTATTAAATAACTGCTCAAAGCTGCTCTGGTAACAATGACTTCCTTCCTTATGGAACTGCTTCAGGTAATCCTCATTCTTTGTATATGTGTTGTTGAGGCGCTCTCTAGAGGTCATTCCATACAAATTCTAATCCACTTCTGCAGGTCGATTGTCTTAGTTTGTAAGAAAATTTACTGGCATGTTTAGGCTCATGTTCCTGCTGCCCCCCCTAAATTCTACTGAGCGTCTGCTGGCGAACAGCCCCTCTGACATTATCCTCTAAGATACCTTGAAAATTCATTTTCCCCTCCATGATGGCAAGCTGTCTAGGCCCAGAGGCAACAAAGCTGCAACTTTATTTCACTGTCGGGATGATGATTTCATGTTGGTCTGAAGAGTTTATAATTAGTTTCATCCAAGAATAAAAACATTTTGCCAGTAGTGTTGCGGAGTGTCAAGGTGCACTTTGGCAAACTTCCACGCTTTGCTTTTGGAGTCAACTTATTCTGACACCCCCTTCTTGGGAGGCTAGCCGCTGAGCTAAATCATCTGCATTCTAACTGTGGACTGATGAATATCTAAACATTTTGAGATTACTCTGTAACCTCTTCCATCTTTATGCAAATCAACATTCTAGATAGTAAGTCTTGTGAGAGCTCCTGCTTTGTAAGGCACAGTTAGATGATTTGTGTGCTCTTAGTTAGAATAGTATATTTGTTCATGATTGTAACCTAGATGAGGATCTGACCATTTTTTAAAAGGGTTCACAAACTTTTTATGCAAATGTAGCTCATCAGCCTCTCCCAGAATATTGTGGTCAAGGACCAATACAGTCTAATGTGTTCATGTTTTTGCTCTAATTATTTCTCTAAAGGTTGTGGATGCCATCCTGCCTCCTCTGATAACACTGGCTTTCAGCAGAAATGGTAAGAGTGGTGAAAAGAGAGAGAGACAGTTGAGACAGAAGAGATGTGGAAATAGAAGTAAATGCATAGACTGTATATGAAGAAATTAAATGTCAGAGTACCACTTTGGACGAGCAGAGCAAATAGCAGAGGGGAACAAGTAGAAGAGACGTTAATAATGATAGATCAAAATAGCAAAATTACATAATGACATTCACCTTAATTCCATGTTGTACTACCTTTATTCTTGCTAGATTGATTGATTGATAGATAGATATTGGCTCGATGTTATTCAGCTGTTGAGTGTCACTGATTTAGTGTAAAATATGAATTCTCTTTTTCTTCTGTGTTTATGTTGCAGTGGAGTGGTCCGTGTTTGTTTTGAGGGAGCTGTCCGAACTCAGTCTCGCCCTGTTGGTTCAGGATGGTGATAGTCGTAATAATGATGAGACGACCAAAGAAAAAAAAGAGAGAGGAGAGGAAGGAGGAAAGGAAGCAGAGAAAATGAATGAAGAGAACTCTTCCAGTCAAATACTAGCTCTCATCACTGACTCTCTGCTTCCAAGGTTGGTCTGAATCTTTCTGTGTTACTGTGGGCTATTCACTGTGACACCTTGGTATACAGTGGCTTCAGGAGGTTTTCAGAGCCCATAATTTTGTGCAGATTATGATATGTATTGGAAAGTAATTTTTGCCCATGAAATAACACTCAATGCTCAATAATGACAAAGTGAATACATGTTTTTAGATATTTTGCTTTTGCAATTTTATGAAAAATCAAAAACTGATTTGCAAAACTATTCAAGCGTTTACTCCGGCTCTGTGTGTGGTCAAGTGCATTGCTGCTTTGATTATCCTTGAGATGTGTCTGGAATTTGTCTGAGTTCATCCAGTTTAATTAAATTGATTGGACCTTGTTTAGAAAGGCAACCATCTGTTTATGTAAAGTCTCACAATTCACTCGGCTGTGATCAAATTGTGTCAAGGCTTTGATCAGGACAAGGGCATCAAAGTATTTCTAAAGAGTTTGGTGTTTCTCAAAGCAAAGTGAACTCAATGATTTTGAAATGGCAGAAGTTGGAACCAGCAGGACTCTGCAAGATATTCAAGAACCCAGTGGTCACTCCAGCAGAGCCTCAGAAGTCCTTTGCAGAGATGAAAATATTGATGACCAACTCAGCCAAGCTCCATCAATCAGGCCTTAATTGTAGAGCAGCTAGACTGAAGCCACTTGAAGTAAAAAGCATGTGACAGCCCGCAAGGAGTTTGCCAAATGGACTCTGAGAACATGATTTGTTGCTCAGGTTGTTCATCTCATGTCATGCTATGTCAGTAGGTGGTGGTAATTAGCTGTGAACTCATTAAGAACCAGAGTTGATGAATGTCGTGCCATTATTACTGCTGAAAAGTGACCTCCATTGTTCTCTCACTGCTCCTTGCAACTTTTTCCACTCAGTAATAATATATAAAACGTACCCAGAAACATTTTTATGAATTAGTAACTGTACTGTAATAATAATTGTGATGATTCTATCGTTAATAAGTGCTCACGATCTTGGGGTTTCCTACAGAGGTGACGATACAGTCAAGCTGATTGTACATATGACAAGATACTCATGGTGTTAAACAACATTATTCAAAATCGTGCCTCTGTCCTCCTTAAAAATAGAACATACAAACTTGTTTTTGTTCTGCTTCTGTGGTAATCGTCACATCCAAGGACTTGCCGAAAACAAGCATCTGTCTTTATGAGCGTTGACACTCAGAGATCATACAATACTGTAGAGAGCAGAGACAGTCATGCAGTAACAAAAATAGACATTGACATTTGTGGTATTTTTTTCTCACAATACTTGATGTCTTCTATATGGATCTATACAGACTTTTCATATATTACCATTATTATTCTGCCATTAGTGTTTTACTCTCCCTCTCTATCTACCCTGCTCAAATGTCCTCATTTCTATCAATTTTCTCTTATGCATCTCTTCTTGTTCACTTTTATTTCCACCCCCATTTTTCTTCCTCATATCTCCTCCTTGTCCTCTCCCCTTACCTCTCAAATTCTCGCCTCTGCTCTTCTTCCCACATTTCCCTTTTCTCTCTTCCTCCTATTATGAATCTGGTTTCCCCCTCCCCCTCTTCTCCGCTCTCTCTCTCCAGATCTGTTCCAGTTTGCACTCTGTTACTAATGATCAGAACAGTGTATTAATAATTAACACTATGAAAGCCAAATGTTGTACTCATGAATGTTTGTGTTTAGGTATGAATCTCTTCTTCAAGCTGCAGAGCCTGTCCCACTCTACGCACTCAAACTGCTGGTATCAGTGACGGAATACAGCAGGCAGATCTGCAGGTACTGTACACAAAGGTGCTTCATAAGTCACACACAACCAATCATATACAGAGAAAGCATTGTGGGAGAAAAATGTGACTGTACTATTCTAATTATACTGTACTATTATATCACACATCTATTAATGTTGTCCATTGTACAGCAGCACAGACCGATATGCAAACCTTCTCTATAGATCCTCTTAAAAGCCAATATTCCTTCTAAAAGTAGCTGAAAGTTGATGTGGACAATAGGTTTGCATGGAGATATTCCATTATTATTGTTCTCTGTTCAAAACCAAGCTTTGGTGGTATTGGAGCATTTTGCAGTTCGGGCAAATAAACACACAAGTACACACGAGTACACACACGCACATTTTAGGCTCTCAATATGTGATGTGTTCATGCCAAGGCCAGTCGCTCCCGGTTCAGCACTGTGAATCACTAATAGCTGTTTCTAATTCAAAACCATGCACTCACACCTGCATACATGTACACACAAACACACAAACCTACCATTGGTAGTGATTTATTTACTCACTACAGTACATACAGATGTGCACAAATAATCATTATTTATTGACTGATACACATTCACAGCTAATAGCAACATCAGCACAGCAACACCAATGCCAGTGATCTACAGTGAAAAAGCCAATGTTTTCTACTTTAGTAATCAGTTTAGTGGCAGGTATAAGCTGCTGTATCAGCTAAGATGTGTAAAGACCTGACATATTGTGAAGATATATATCTTGGCACACGAGCTACTCCTGAAGAGCTTTGTTCAAAAGGTGTAATGCACATGCTTGGAATATACAGCACCAAGGCAAAATTATTGCTGCTCTTAAGATTCACTGCTGCATAATGTGGAAATAATTCAAATAAGGAAGCAGCCGTCTGACACCAAAATAAAGAGGTAATGTGTTACAGAGAATCTGCTGATCCCTATTCTGACCATGAGATTGACTCCTCGTGCGTGCACAGATGTATGTGTGCGTGATCGATGGGTTTGATCGATGGGTTCTGACAGCAGCTGTCAGTAAATCTTGATTCTCTGGTCACCTGTCTTCTCTTTTCAGCTGTTGACAGACACAAAGTGGGGGTGAAAATAAAGGGGAAGAGAGAGAGAGAGAAAGTGGGAAAGGCAAGCGATGGTTGGAGGGGTTGATGGAAGGATAGATGGAGAAGGTACGAAAGATATGTGAAGAGAGATTGAGGAAGATGAATGGAAGTAAGAGTGGGCAATCTTCCTTTGAGTCATATCATGATCTTTTTAATGAACTCAATTCACAATTTGAATTGTGATCTTTCTCCCCAACTTTGTAATACTTGTACTGTCAAGAAAATCCAGACTCAAACTAGCCAGACTTATCTATTTGCATCATTTAAAACAATATTGCATTGACAACACTGTTTTGTAAATGGTACATCTGTATTTTTTTTGGTTTACAGTAACTGTGACTGTTAACCATTTGTTTGTCTCTCCTCTTCCATCCACTCATTTTATCTACTTCAACCATTATAACTTAATAAACCTCTTATCACTAATGCCATACTCTCTGTCCATCTCCATCCGTCCCCCCCAGAGTTCAAAGTTCACCCACATTGGAGAGTAGGCTCCTACTTCTCTTATCAGTTATATTACCTCTTCTCATCTTTGTCCTTCTCTTCCTCCCTCTCTCCTCATCCCCTCCTTCCTTGACACAAGTAGAGTGATGTGAACTTTTCAAATTGGTGTCAGCATTGGTGTCTCTCTACATCTCTGTTTTTTTCCTCTGACATTATTAACAATATTTTACTTTTTTTTGCTCCCTCCCTCGTTCCCTTTCTCCCGCATCTCTAATTTATTAACATTAGTCCACATTTCTGTCTTTCCCTGTGCCCTCTCTCCACAACTCTCCCTCCATCACTGCGGTTATACAATCAGAAATTAAATTGCCTGGGTCTTGGTTAGATAAGTGTGGCTATGAAGCCAGCCGTGCGGTAATTAGATGGTAAATTGGGGACATTAACGTTGGAAAGGCAGCCTGCTGTCTCTCTACATTATCACAGCCCAGACACACCTTCAAACAACTACATTTACTCTGACCTTTAGCCAAAGAACCTCGTGTGTGTGCGCATGCGTGGCCATGTATGCTTTAATGTCCTTATACTTTATCTATCTGCCAATTGTATGTGGATGTGGCCTTTTCACACATTTTGATTTAAACTTAGTATATGGTTTTTATTTTCTCATGGTTTACCTTGCTCGGATATTGTGTTTTTTAGAAGAATATCTACTGTATCTTAAACCTTCATAATTCTTGCTTGTGTGTCTTTTTTTTTCATCATTAGTTAATAGCTTGGCATAGACTCAGCCTTGCAAAGCCATTACATCATGAAATTGCTACAGTCCTACTCTCTCTATACCAGAGAAAAGAGGAATCAGTAGACACCAAGGTGATCATTTTCACATGTTATTGCATAGGAGTCTGTTTTTCTGTGCTGCTCTGTAGCATGAATTAATGCATAAGGAAAATATTCTTTAGATGATATTAAAATGAGAGATTTGTCATTTAATGAATAATTAGACTATGCTTTTTTTACTACACTTGGTGTTTATAATGTTTGCACTTGAAATATTAATATTATTAAGGTCCATGCTGCCCTTTGAAAACCATCAGGATTCAGTTTTGGATCTCTTACTGTTTAATTGACAGCAGCAATATCTGACTACAGCAGAGCATTGGGTTAATCTAGTTTTATACTATTATATTCTCCATTATAGAGCTGGTGATGTATGACTAATGCAGTGAGGGTCGTCTAATCTGTGTGTGTTCTATTATTGGCAGTGTGTGTTGTGTTCGGGTCTGTTCAGTGTCTGGTGTTGTGCACACTGTCTATTGATGTATGGCTGGTAGGTGGACGATGGTCTACTTTATCATGTCACGCTGGCCTGGCCTGTCCTCTCATGTCTCAGCCTGTCACCCTCCTAATGGGAGTTCATCCATCATATTTGTAAACACGTACGCACACACACTCACGAACACAGACACACACACACACACACACACACACACACACACACACACATATGCCTTCATAAAAGACCTAGAGTACTGAGCAAAATATAAAGTACATCCTTAATCTCTGGATTCATTCATCTTGTCAAGTAAAAACTAGTTCCCACTGAAATACCTGAGCCCTGTCTACCTGTGCCTATAAACAGTGGGTCATCTCAGTGCAGAACACATGGATTAAGTCACTATTCAGCTGAAAAGTAACATAGTTCCTGTAGATTTGAATGCTTTTACTTCAGTGGTGCTAATGTTAGATATCGCGGACTCGAACGTTAAGCCATTAAATGAAAAACCTCCATGACTGATGGTATTCTAGGTCAAATTATCTCATTGAGCATGGTCAGATAGAGGGAGGATTTGTTACTGTTATGAACTCGTCTGTGCAAAAACCTTTCTGCTGCATTGTGGTAAACTGCAGATAAAATCTGGACCCAGTTCTTCGGAATTTAGGTCATGTCTGAAAACAGCTGAACAAGACATGTTCAAGGTAATAGACTTGTCAGAGTGTTCAGAAAATGTCCCAGTCTAACAATCGAACAATGCTGTCTTCTAGTTTTACCAAATTATTATTACAACTTTGAAGTTAAAGTGAGGTACATGATCCCTGAGAGGACTGAAGCAGCCTGCTCTCTTGTCCAATAAATCAGTTTCTGTTTCAGGTGCTGACTGTGAGCTGAGAGGTTGGTGTATTCGTATGGGGAATATGTCAGCACATGTTTAGTTTAAAAATAGTGTAAAAGGTAGCTTGCATGACTGAAGCAAACATAATTTGATTCAACAAGGATATATATATATATATATGCACAGAAACGAAAATATGACGGTTGGTTATATTTTCCAAAAGTCTCAATGGTGAAGAAATTGAACATTAACAGAATAAATTCATAATTGTACAAGAGATAAGACAACATTTTTCTAGGAATAAGCAGCTACGAGAAACAATGTTCACTGGAGTTTCACATTTTATCCAAAATCTTAGACCAGTCTCATTCTGAAAGCAAACCTCTTTGAAAATCATGCAGATGAAACCAACGATATACAGTCGACCACTATCAATCATTTCCTCTACCACAAAATAGGCAATTTTCTTAGTCTGTGTGGTTCCTTATTCAGAAAAGGCACAGTTTCTCAAAACAAAATTTCCGTTGTGATACTTACGATAATGTGATGCTGTGTATTATGGGAAGTTGTATGGTATGTGTGAAACTTGTGAGTGTAACTTCAAAGATGCTCCACATTACTCACTTTAATATGACACAGCCTTCAATTTATGACTTCACTCTTATATGACTTTATTCTTGAAATCTGAGAATGTGGCCCTAATACCCAGACTTGTTGAAGAAAAATAATAATTTAAGCTGTAAAAAAGGAATGTCAAAATGTAGGGAAAATTGTTAGCACCTCTGCAGAGCCATTAAGTATTTGTCTTTTGCATCTCTACAAGAACTTATGTTAAATGACAAAGGTTTCTCAGTCAATATGCACCATGGTTCTGATAGGTCCCATTTCTTACAATCCCAAAAGAGCAGCCTTGTGCTGAAAACTGTAAGACGCTGTCGAATCAGGTGGCCTCCATGAATGGTCTGTCGCCTGTTGGTCAAACTATAAATCATAGTTAGAGTGAGGACAGATGTTTAAATCAGTGGTCAGGCTTTGTTGCCGTCAGTATATTAACACCTGTCTGACTTTAGGCAGCTTTGTTCCCACTACAGCCTGAACGCCTTCTTCTTTCCAATACACACAGTGTGTAGCTGCATGTGAATATGTGTGGACAAGCACACAGCAGTTGGTTGTGAACCTCAATCAGAAAGGGAACAGACTGTCATTCCTAATACACTGTTGACATTCACATCTCTTTCTCTTCCTCTCTGTTCTATCCCCCTCCCCTCTCTCTCTCTGCTTTTATTTGTAGTTTTTTAGTTTGGGTTTACTTTTCTCTCTCTACTCCCCTCTTGCACCCATTTGTTTCCCACCTCCTCTCTCCGCCCTCTGTTCTATGTCCAAATCCTCTCCTCTACCACTCCACCTCCTTTCTCCTCATCACCGAATGTAATCTTCTCTTACCTGATCTTCCCCTTAAATCTCATCTCCTCTACCCGTGTCCTTGCCTCTCTCCGTCCTCACCTCGTCTCACTTCATCTGCTCTCATCATGTCTCCACTTTTCGTCTCTACTCTCCCACTGGTACCAGACAGGAGTCATTGTAGCGGAACTACAACCATAATGAAGATGAAACCTTCCAGTGTGTGTGCATGTGCAAGTGTGTATTTGAGCAGTGCAGTGAATTGCTGCTAAATTAAATTAATTCCTCTCTCCCTTTCAGGTTGATCAAACGCAGTAGGGTGCTACCAACAGTTTTTCAGCTCATTATGGTAAGAAACCAATCTCAGTAAATCAGTTAATCAATTAGTCTCCATTCAAACAATCAGTAAATCACTCGGTCATTCAGTCACTCAGCAAACCAAACCCAGTTATCACAATCTGCATCATTCTCCCATGTCTGCTTTGTTTTATTGCAGCTCCTTCCTTCTCTTACCTCTCACTAACTCCATCTAACAGTAGATGCATTTATGTAAATTAATCAGAGTGGTGTTGACCTATTAGAGGGCTTGTGTAATTGACTGGCAGGTCAGCAATAGAGAGGTAGAAGGGTTGATAGAGTGGAAATGTGGACCTCACTCTTCAGAGTGCACACACACAGCACATACATACAAAAACACCTCAGCACTTGTCTGTTATCAGTGAAGCATAACAACGTTTCCAGCAGACAATTTATTTCACCTGACCCTCTTTGCATACACGCACAATCTAATTCAACAACCGACAAACACAACACAATCTATTTTCAGAAAAGCAAAATGCTTGTGCTGCAACAAACATCTTGTGCTTCACACACGCACACACACACACACACACACACAGAAATATGCTTACACTCACTTAATAATCAGTGTTCTGCATGGCTGCCCGTCCAGCCCTGACTAGCTGATGCAGAATGTTAAACACTGTTATCCAACAGCCTGATTAACTTTTCGCCTGATTGTTTACTCCTGTCTGAAGCAGTCATGTCAGGATCCATTAGTGCCGTCTGTATTGCTAACATGGGGATTGATTAAGCTGCCTGAAACACTCTGATCTGGATTGATTGCCCCGTCACTGGTGATCACACTTGTCATGGAGAAACTCACCTAATTGTATTTGTCGAGATGATGAAGTAGTCCTGCTTCAGACATTAAACGGCCTCAGGAAGCCAGTTAGACCAAGCTTCTTAATTGGTTGGTTGCTGCACCCCGAGTAGGCAGACTATTCACACTGGGTTACAGTCAAATACTTTTGCAAATCTTGCCTTACTTAAATCTTATTGTAAGTACACACCTTAAGGCTACCAAGCTGTAATGCTCTGAGTCAAGGGGCAGGACATTGAGTCACCATGTTAAACATCATTTTTCTTTTTCATGCTTTGTTGATCTTTGCCGGTGTTATGCTTTCAGTGATGTGCACAAAGTCTTTTCATGGCTTATTAGCCCATAAAGATCACAATAAATGAGCTTTGTCATTTGTTGGTACTGACAGGCAAGTCGTGCTAGGTGTGGATTGATGTCGTTGTCTTTCAGCCTCAGGCTACAGTGCATGATGAGTACCAGTCAGACTTATCATACCGTACACAGATCACACTGATGCGCACAGACCCTGCAGGCAGAGCTGGTGCATCCCGGAGAGGATCAAATAGTGAAATGAGGGCAGGAGAGAGAAGGAGAAGAGAATTAGGAAGGCGAGTATATTTTTGAGAAGGAGAAAGAGGAGAGGTAAAGAGAGTAAATGAAGGAAAAGCAAATGAGTAGGAGTGTGTGAGAGTGCAAAGAAATAGAAGTAGGTGGAAAGTGGAGACAACAGTCTGGCTCCCTCTTTATTATCAAAGGTCACAACTCCGCCATCCTCTGATAGGTTAATTAGCATATACTTACAGTTCACAGTAGATCAAATATGTCATTATGAATAAATCACTACAGTGTATATACCAGACAGTTTCTTTTCTCTTGCTGTTGACGTCTGTGCTGTGTGACCCAATGCACATTAGTAAAATTTGACCTTATTTGTCATTTGGGGGGGGGGGTCCTGCCCACAGTTTCGCAGACGTGTGTCTAATAATGCTTGTAGGAAAAAACAAGACTCTGGGTACATGTTGTGGAAAAAACACTTAGCTAAAGGCCTTACAGACCTTTTAAAAATGACCTTTACTCAAAAGCCGTGCTTTAGCAATCCACTCTATAATTAGAGGCTCCAACTAATAGCACTTGATGGAGCACAGGCCTCCACCAAGGCCCAACAGTTCCTTTAAAATTGAATCAAGCCGCACAAAATTGTACACACCCTTAGATATCAGTTCCTTAAAATGCATCAAGATTGATATATTATTCTCTGGGACATTAGTGAAAATGTAAAAAAAAAAAAAGCCACATCAAATTCTTGATCCATCCCTCTGTCCACATCCATGGCAAAATGTAATGGGTGTCTTTCTTAGCCCATGTCCCATCGTTACACTGACTGGAAATCTGTTCAGCAGTTGTATGTTGCAGTTGCAGCAGTAATGGACTGGTTTATAACATGGAAGTCGATCATTTGGAACTAAAGCTTCTAATTTTGGGTTAGGCAGCATACATATGTTTTTACTAAGAGAGATGTATGCATTAAAAAACAGATTTGAAACCAGATGGTGGTTATTAATAATGGTGTCTTTGTGTTTTTATAAATCTGCATACAGACATTTAAAGCACTGCTTATTGCAGTGTGACACCCTGTCCACTTTCTTATCTTCTCATAGTCGTATTCCAATTATTTACATTTATAATCTCAGGTCTCATTTCCTTTGTTGTTCAACAGTAGATGTTATAAGTGTTTATACAGTTACATAACATATGGAACACATGATGTTGGAAGATATACTGCAACTTTCTCTCTCATTTCAGGCCAATAGAAGTAATGTTAACAGTGGGATGGTCCAAAATGCAGTTGCCTTGCTGTGTAACCTCACTGAAGATTTAGTCTTAGACCTGGAGCCACTCCACCAGCAAGGTACAGTATGTCTTAAAGTTTCTATTGAGATAGAAAAGATGCTTCTTTTCCCAACTTTTAAAAACATACAGTACTTTAATTGGACTTCTCATGTTTAGTGCTCTCTCTTACATTAGTAAGGTAATTTTACTTGTTGTTATCTAGTTTAATCTAGGTCAACATCTGTGTGTGTGTGTGTGTGTGTGTGGCAGAGATGGTGAAACTCAATAAAATTAGAATTTCTTGTCTATTCTGCATGATTCGAATGGATCCGGGGGGGGGGGGGGTAATGTATGATGTATGTCTTGAGTGAGGACATTTTTCAGAAGTTTTCAGGATCATTTTAGGTCCATTTGAGGAACAAAGACAGACTTGGGATTTTGACTAAAATTAGAAGGAAGGAATAATAAGCAGCTGAAATCTAGCATTACAGAATAAATCTAAAAAAACTAATTTCTAATTTAAAAATGTTCACAAGAATAAAAATACAAACCCTCCTCTCTGCCTCTGTCTCTCTCTTTCTGCCTCTGTCTCGCTCTCTCTCATAATTTAGTTTCTCATTTCGTCTATCTTTTTCTCTGCACCTCTTTCCCGTCACCACCCAAAAAACACCATAAACCCCTCCTCTCCCTCCATTTCCATTGGGTCAGCAGTACAGCAGTTCAGTAGTCAGCATCATTATCGTCCAATCACCTCTCCTCTCAACACGAAACTGTCAACCCAGCACTAATACTGGCCAGGCAATTAACACTATCTCTCTCTCTCTTGCTCACGCTCTCTTTCTCTCCTCTCTGCTCATCTCCTCTTCTCTCCGCTCCTCCTCTGTTACCCTTTGCCATATTAACTTGTTCTCATCGTTTTTTCCATCCCTTTCCTCATCTATCCATTTTTCTAATCAGCTCACATCTCGCTCCCTTTTCCTCCCCTCCCCTGGCTTCCCTCCATTCTCGTTTTTACCTCTCCCTTAGCCTCTATTTTGGGCTCCTCTTCTATCTTCTTCTCCCCTCTCTACACTCTTTTTGTTGTGGTTCACTCTAGATCGGTGTGGTGATGGCAGAAAGGAGGGAGAGAAGAGGAGAAGGGAGGAAGCATGTATAATTGGCTTTTTAAGGTGTGACAGAAAGAGGAAGGGAAGGGTGGTGTGTGAGCAAGTATTTGTGAGTGTGTGTTGGAAGGCAATGAAATAGACAGTGAAGATGCACACAGTGCTTGTGTTAATATATATGTGCGTATGCTTCTGTGTGTGTGTGTTGGGTAGGTGTGTGTGTTGGGTGGGTGTGGGGGACGGTGGATGCAGGAGCACCCAGTATATGTGTGTGAGAGAGAGACACATAGGGAGGAGATGACGTTTATAATTGGGTAGATTTGCCTCTGACTGAGATAATACCCCCTGGGGAATGAATACAGAGGGAGTAAAGGGAGAGACACAGAGATAGGGAGGAAGAACAGAACAAAGAAAGAAAGAGAAAAGAAGAGAAGAGAATGGCATGACAGACAAGAAGGAAAGCAAAACGGGAGGTAAAAAGGGCAACACGAAGGAAGGATGAACTTTAAAGAAAAAATATGGGCATTCGGGTGAGACGACAGGGAGGTGGGATGAGATGATAGAGGAGAAACCTGGAGGATGAAGTTTGTGACAGTTTTGATAGAGGGAGAGGAAGAGTAACTTAATTAGGGATTAAGAGACACCCCCTTAACAAAGTTTATTTTGGATTTTTCTTCGAACAGACTGATGTGTGAGATGTCTTGGTTATTATCTGATTATATAATCATATGAAGCCTTGCCTCTCCCAAGAGCAAGTTTGAGAATCATTTTGTTGGTACTTTGACAAGCAGCCTGCATGATTTAATAAGAACACGAGCACACCTAGAGCATGTAGAACAGCCAAACTCTGTTTGCATCTCAAGCAAGCCCTCAGTTCGGTCTGGTGCTGACAGGGTGTCAGTTAATTAAAGCATGTATGTCCTTTAATTAATTAAAGTCTTCAGGGGCTCTGTGTGCCTGCACAATCCTTGAAGGTCTTTGAGGTTCCTCATCGGGTTTGATCCATCACCAATCTTTATTATTTCTCCTGACCTTCTGTATTAGAAGCTCAGAGGAGTTTTTTAGGTAATTGCTTCTGTGCCACCGTTTCCATTCATAAATTGCCATTTGAAATTGGGCTCAGGTTATTTCCCCAAAGGTGTTTAAAAGTTCTATAATGATTCTTTCACACCATGTCCATATGTGTCCAATCAATAACAATGCCCTCTGGCATCATTTATACAATCTTCCATAATAATGTTTTTTTATAATAGCAAGCATCCAGTAGGTTACTGAATCCAGAGTTTAACAACCAATCAATCAATAACATTGCATTAAATGTTCTACTTTGTGTCTTCAGTTTATTCAGTTCATTGATTCAACGGCATTGGTGCAGTTTGCATTGAAGTCCTTGGATACACTGAAAACATATAAAGGTATAAGATAGATTTTTAACATTATTTTTTTAGGAAGACCAACATCCCAATATGAAAACCCAGTCTTAATATATCAAATATGTACATTCATGGTTTCTATAGAGTCACTTTCACCATTAATTATTAACATACTGTTCACTGGCTTCAGAAAGTATTCAGACCTCATTTTGTTCATGTCATAGATTTAATTATAAATTGATAATGTTTTTTATTGTTCGATTTCTTTTCCAAATGTCTTAAAAACCAAAAGCTGAAATGTCCCATTCACAAATGTATTCAGACCGTTTATGTGGCACTGCAAGCTGTGTTCAGATGCACCCTGGATGTCCATGAGTTTTGTCACATGCAGCTTGATTCACCTGAAGACCAGGTAATTCTAAAAAAAAAAAAAACATTTCTGAAACTTTAATTGGTTTCCATTGGCTTCAATGATTCTGAGATGGAAAGAGTTTGCAACCACTTTGACTTTGGTCCCAATCCTGAACCTAATTTATTCTAATATAAAGGGCCCATTCTAGGGTAAAGAAAACAACAATTCATAGAATTTAGATGATCACACACTAGTGAAAACATCATCACAACATTATTTTCTATTAAATGTGTGCCAATAGATCACCTAAATCTTACACACTGAAGCTTTAAGCCCATTTTCCACTGGTCGAAAAACACTGCACTTCTGGCTTCTATCTGCAGTGGGTCATATGACTGTGCAGTAAAGGATTTTTTGTTTTTTTCAGCTCCGGCTCCAGTTGGCAGTGATTAAAATGTGACACCCTAGTGAGCGTACTAATTTGGGAAGACTGTGAAGTGAGAAACTCCTTTTTGGCACGTGTGTGATGTCATACCTGATGCACTGGAAAAAAACAAACAAAGACAAACCACTCCACTGGGAATGCAAATGGAGTCAATCGTTTTTTTTGCATTTACCTGCGTTTAAAACATGTTTGCCTAACAATTTGCTGTAAATTTGGAGTGGACTCTGGAGAGCTTGAAGGTGAAGGTTATCTGGTCCGATTAAACAAAAACTTGACCTCTTGTGCAGAACTCCAAACACATCGGCCAGCATGGTTGTTGTATGGGGAGGGGGGGGGGGAGCTTTGTCAAAATTTAGGGAAGGGTGAGTGCAGGGAACAACAGAGGGTGCCTACGACCTGGGAGTGAGGCAATGGTTCACTTTTCCACCCAACAATGATCCAAGAACATAAAGATTTGACAATGCTGTAGTGATTTCAGGACAAGTCTCTGACTGGCCTTGAGTAGCACAGTCAAAGCCCAAACTTAAACCCCACAGAATATCTATGGACAGATCTGAAGATCTCAGTTCATAGATGCTTCCATCCAGTTTGATGGGGCTCGAGATGATTCGCCAAGAAGAATGACATAAACTACTCAAATCCAGGTGTACAAAGAATGCACATACCCAACAAGACTCAAAGCTGTAACCGCTGCCACTGAGGCTATCTACGAGGCCCTGCAGTAAGGGTCTAAATACTTGTGTACTTTTTCTTTCATCATATA